AGGATTGCTTGAGCCCAGGAGTTTGAGGTTGCTGTGAGCTAGGCTGATGCCACCGCACTCTAGCCTCGGGCAACAGAGTGAGACTTTGTTTCAAAAAAAAAAAAAGCTTTATACTACCAGGTAAGAAATTCACAGCATTCTTAACACCTCAAAACAGAAAGCTGTGGAGGAACGATACTGTATATAAAGGTTTCTTAATCTCAGTACTACTGACATGTTGGGCTTCACAATTCTTGTTATAGGGGGTTGTCCTGTGCATTATATGACCTTTAGCAGTATCCCTGACTTTTACCCATTAGATGTTAGTTGGAGACCATACCCCTTCCCAGTTATAACAACCAAAAATGTCTGTGGACATTGCCAAATGTCCCCCAGGGGATACCTGATTGCCCCTGATAGAGAACCACTGCTATACACAATGCAGATTAATCACAATTTTGGATTTTGACTCAGTTTTACGATTTGTTCTCGCTTAGAAACGCTTTTTTACAAAGTTTTTCCCAACCTTTGTGCTTTTTGCTCTTATATCTACAACTCTGCAGCTTCAACCCTTTTATCAATCTATGCTCACCTTTTAAAATTTATAGGTGCAGACCTTTTTCCTATAGTATTTAATATAAAAGGTATCTTTTAAACTGTGGTAATAATTTTATTAGGGCTATTAATGGGTGAACCTTAATGAGAGGGCTCTGATTACAAAGTTGCATAGATTATCTATCCATTATTCTGTATTTTTTCATAAACCCTATTTAGTGTAATTTCACAAAATATCAAGCTTTTCATCAATGTACATAACACAGCAATAATGCCTATTTTAAGGGACATCTAGTTAAATATGGTAGAGTTAATGTAATTCTCTTTGCCTTGTTCTAAAAATGTATTAAAAATCAGAGTAAAACAACACAAACACACATATACACGCACACGCACAAAATGAAAGAGGAGACCACAGCAGGTGGGAGAATCTGGGGAGAAGGCAAGTGGATGGAGGAGTGGCATATGACCTAACAGAGATAAAAGAAAAAGAAAACCCAAGAAATGTAAGATCCAAGACTAGAGAATTCCTTTGATGAGGTTTTATTTATTTATTTTTATTTCTATTTATTTATTTATTTTTTGAGACAGAGTCTCACTCTCTTGCCTGGGCTAAAGTGCCGTGGCGTCAGCCTAGCTCACAGCAACCTCAAACTCCTGGGCTCAAGCGATCCTCCTACCTCAGCCTCCCAAGTAGGTGGGACTACTGGCACGCGCCACCATGCCTGGCTAATTTTTTCTATTTTTAGTTGTTTGGCCAATTTCTTTCTATTTTTAGTAGAGACAAGGTCTTGCTCTTGCTCAGGCTGGTCTCGAACTCCTAAGCTCAAATGATCCGCCAGCCTTGGCGTCCCAGAGTGCTAGGATTACAGGTGTGAGCCACCGCGCCCGGCCTGATGAGGTTTTATGAGTCCCGGCAATGGAGCCAGATTGCCTGGGTTCAAATCCTGACTTTACCATTTACCAGCTGTATTGACTTTGGGCATCAGTTTCCTTATCTGTAAAATGAAGCTATTACTACTATCCTTATAAGGTTGTTATGAGGATTAAATTAGTATTTTTAACTTCTTAGAACATTTTCTGTAGTAATTCTTACCTGTGGGCCAATCCTAGACACATAGCAGACATTTCACGTGGTTCTACCCCAGGGATTAATCCATCCATTTGTGAACGGATTCCTCTCATAAGTTCATTAACAACAGGACTATGGATACAACTGAGATTCAGCTTGTCCTGTAAGAATAAGAACACTTGTATTAAATAAAGAAAAAAAAAATGTTCCTGAGGTTCTTTCTTTCTTTTTGTTGCTGAGACAGAGTCTTGCTCTGTCCCACCCTGGGTAGAGTGCAGTGGCATCATCATAGCTCACTGCAACCTCCAACTTCTGGGCTCCAGCGATCCTCCTGCCTCAGCCTCCTGAGTAGCTGGGACTATAGGTGTGTATCACAATGCCTGGCTAATTTTTCTTTCTTTCTTTCTCTCTTTTTTTTTTTTTTTTAAGTAGAGACAGGGTCTCACTCTTGCTCAGGCTGGTCTAAAACTCCTGAGCTCAAGCAATCCTCCTGCTTCAGCAAACCAGAGTGCTGGGCTTGAGCCACCGCATGCGGCCTCTGAGATTATTTCTTAAATGTTAAAATAGCACTGATTTAAATACATGCATTTCTCACTTTCTAGAAAAGTATAGTTTCTAGTGTGCAAAACACTTGAATGGAAGTCAAAACTGACACAAACTTCCAGAACGCAGCTTGGCTGTATAAATCAAAAACTATAAAAGATGAATATTAATTTGACTTCATAGTTTTTCTTATTCCTGTTTGTTGGTTTGAGGGGATCTTTTACTACCTTATGTTAACTTCTTTCTTAAAATATAAAGTTATGGCTGGGTGCAGTGGCTCATGCCTATAGTCCTAGCACTTTGGAAGGCCAAGGTGGGAGGACCACTTGAGGCCAGGTGTTCAAGAACAGCTTGAGGAATGCAGCAAGACCCCATCTTTACAAAAAATAGAAAAATTAGCTGGATGTGGTGGCACGCGCCTGTAGTCCCAGAACTCAGAAGGTTGAGCCAGAAGGATCACTTTAGGCGGGGAGTTTGAGGCTGCCGTGAGCTAGGATATCACCACTGCACCCTATCTCAGGCAACAGAGAGAGACCCTGTCTCAAAAACAAACAAAAAAACAACAAAAAATAAAGGTAATATACACATAGGATTTTAATCTTGTAAGTACTATAGAGAAGGGTACTGATGTAAGTCATAGGCCCTTTCCCTAAAGATAAATATTAACATCCCTTAAACACTTCCAAATAAATACATATGTTAATGTGTATACACAAACATACACATACAAATCTTTAAAAATACAGTTTAAATCTTTTTATACCCCACAGATAGGGTAATGATTTTCCTGCACACTTTCACTTTTCTATTTTGCACTGTTGTTAACTCCTCCATACAGATCTACATAGTTCTAGTTCATCCTTGGAAATAATGACAGACATATGCAAAATTGTATATATTGCAACTTTGAGTACATTATACAAGTGATAGTCAGTATTAAAGTTTTTTAAATAGAGAAACTGAAAAGAAAAAATTAAAGATATCTATAATCCCATTGTTAAGCAATATGCCCTTCTGTGTGCCTTTTACTATCTATGTATCATACCACATGTGTACAAACCCACTCAAGCAGTATTGTTTATTATACATTCTTCAGGCTTTCTTTCTCTTGAGTACAATGTATATAAGCAGGACTCAACTTGGAATTAGAATGATGCTTCAGTTCCTTGATATTGAAAATGTTTGCTCACTTTATAATATGCTAAATTATGGTTTTTAACAGAAAAATATGAAGTAAGATGTGTGGTCATTTCAAAGATGTAAAGATTGATATTGCAGAAAACCTAATCACTTGACAGTACTGGAAGTAATCTATTTAAATAAACTTCTTAAATTAACAATTCTAACTTACAAAACCCCTTTAAAAATCTATTTAGCACATACCCTCCATTTTGCATCATTCTTTCCTACCTGAAGAGACCAATGACAAAGCATAATTCTCACTTCTTGAATCAGAGGTATGTTTATGATCAAAATAACCTATTACTATAACATCTACTGTAACTACTGAAGATCCAACCCATCATAACTGGCTCTTGAACTGTTCTGTTTTCCATGTTTTGGAGGCTACTTTTCCAGTCTTTCCATTTTGTTTCATCTCTAGGAACTATGCCTCCTATTAAGGTTTTCTAATAAACACATTTTAAAATGTGTTTAGGAAGAAGAGGCAAGAACAACCGCTGGACCGACCAAAGCCCACATGCCACTACATCCCCAAGCCCAGTGCCTAAGTCCCACCACCATCACCATGCCCAGAGAAAGGCTGAAGTAGACATTAAAGGACATAAAGCCAAGGCAAAGGACGAACCACAGAGAAGATCTGCAAGGCTGTCTGCTAAACCTGCTCCTCCACAGCCAGAGCCCAAGCCTAAAAAGGACCCTGCAAAAGGAGAGAAGATACCCAAAGGGAAAGCTGACGCTGACAAGGAGGGGAATAACCCTGCAGAAAATGGAGATGCCAAAACAGACCAGGCACAGAAAGCTGAAGGCACTGGAGATGCCAAGTGAAGTGTGAGCATTTTTATTAACTGTGTACTTCTTGTGGCTGTATAGTTTGAAATATTATTTTTCATTGAGTTTTATAAAAATGCATAATTTTGTTTTACTTTTTTAAAGCTGTGTTGGTAGCACACAGAACACTTCATTGTTTTTGGGGGGAAGGGGCATGCCACTAACAGAATGTCTACAAAGCTAGACCAACGTGGGGAAAACACCTTTCCCTTCTAGTTTTGAGAGACTTTCTCTTGGCTCTCAGGAAGAGGGATTCTGACATTAACACACAGCCACCTTGGCACAAATGTCTTGTGGAATGGAACAACTAATTTGTTTTTATGTCCTATTCTTCCTTTCTGCCTTCACCATAGTCTTAATTCCCTTAAATTCAGACACTCCTAAGAACCTGACCCCCAATAAGTCGTTACCAGTATGTCAAGTAATCTGGACTTTCCAGTGATGCCACTGAGATGGCATCCCTCAAAAGAGCAGCAGTTCCGTTTCTAGATTGTGGATCTTCTGATAAATTCTGACATCTTCATTTCATTTCTTGAAAGTCAGGGTCAGCTTGTAAAAAGTTGTTTAAAAAAGGTGAAATGTCAACCCTCACTCTAACCTTTCCCTGTTTAGAGCATCAAATGAAGACTTCCTTGGGTTTTGTAGTGGCTTTCTGATTTTGATAGTCCACTAAAGACAGGAGTTTGAAAGTTGTTGTATACTGTTAACAACTGCCCATGTCCTGCCTGAAATACCATGATTGTTTATGAAAAGAATCTTTAATAAAGCTGGATACAGTTTGGCTTGGGAAAAACAACTGTGTTTAAAAAAATGTAATGACTCCATTTTTGTTGAAAGAAGAAAATGTTGGGCAACAACAAAAATAAACAGAATTTGATTAAATAAAAAGCTTCTGCATGGCTAAGGAAACAATCAACAGAGCAAATAGACAACTTACAAAATGGAAGATAGTATTTGCAAGCTATACATCCAATAAAGGGCAAATAACCAGAATTTACAAAGAACTCAAGCAAATCATCAAGAAAAAAACAAACAACCCTATTAAAAAGTGGGCAAAAGACATAAACAGAAGCTTCCCGAAGAGGACAAATGGCCAATAAACATATGAAAAATGTTCAACGTCACTAATCATCAGGAAAATGCAAATTAAAAACACAATAAGATATCACCTTACCCCAGTTAGAATAGCATTTATCAAAAAATTCCAAAAACAATAGATGCTGGTGTGAATGCAGAGAGAAAGGAATGCTTATATGCTTTTAAAAAAATGTGGCTAAACAAAAATATGGCCAGATATACATAAGGTGTTAATATTATATACAGGTAGCAGAGCTAAAGCTAATTTTTATCATTTTTATTTGTATTTTCTATAATGATTAGGCGTTACTTATATGTTTGGTTCTAATGATCCTAACAGAAATCAATTATTATGTAACCTAGAGAAGAAAGATCAAGTATAAGAACTTGTGACAACTTCGCTGGGTGTGGTGGCTCACGCCTGTAATCCTAGCACTCACTTTGGGAGGCCGAAGTGGGAAGATCACTTGAGGCCAGGAGTTCAAGACCAGCCTCAGCAAGAGCAAGACCCTGATTCTCTATTAAAGAAACAGAAAATTAGCCGGGTGTGGTGGTGCATGCCTGGTAGTCCCAGCTACGCAGGAGGATTGCTTGAGCCCAGGAGTCTGGAGTTGCAGTGAGCTATAATGATGCCACTACACTCTAGCCCAGGTGATAAAGTGAGCCTGTCTCAAAAACAAAACAAAACCAAACCACTTATGACAACTTATAACAAAGACTAGGCGTTGTAGTCAGTATGCTGAAATCTGAGTAGCAAACACACACTCAGAAAAAATTATGATTTTACCTTTATGACTCCTCCTAGTTTAGCATCAGCTACAGCCAAAGGTTCGTGGGCTTCTTTTACTATTTTCTTCAGAACTTTCTTCAGCTGTTTATTGATTTTGCCCTCCATCAGAGCTGTGAATGCTTTTCAGGAAAAAGAAAAATAGAAGTTAACTCTTAGATTTTTAATTGTGAGAATATGTCTTAATTTAAGAAAATAAAGCAAAACACTTCTTTTCAAAAGGCCCAAATTTAACATTACTTCTAAAATGAAATGATAAATGTATAAATGTTTTAAAAAGTACACATTTCACAATCCCATTTTATCTTCTCACCCTCAGTTCTGCTCCAGAGCTAGGGGATAACCCAGGTCACAAGAATCCTCTTATGAACTCAGAGAGAGACTATCATGAAATCTTAGAAACAATCTATTCGGGGAAGACAAATAGATTAATTCTCCTTTGTCATTTCAAACAGACTGAAATTGTGAATAGATTGTAAAATATCCTAAAATCATGTTAAAACTGGTTTTAAAAAAAAATGTGCAATCATTTTCATGACTATTCCACAATATAAGCATGTTCAAGTGGAGGCCTTATCTTTGCTAATCTCCAATACAGATGTTTCATTAGGCTTCTGCTTGTTAACCTCCAACAATGGAGGCAACTTAATCTATTTTGAGACTGCTTTCATTTCTAGCAAGTTCCAAATCTGCTACTTGATAACTCTCATCCTTCCTTAGACTTATGCTTCCATTATCTGGACCCACATAAACTAACATCTCTTCTGATATTTTTCTGCCGTAACAGTATGCTTGGCAGGAAAGGTCTGTCACAATTTCCAAGGCAGTTTGTGTTTAATCAACCGAGTATGTGCTCTTCCCTCCTGATCCTCTCTATCCATAAGGATTACATCTGTTATATGAGAACATCATAAAGGTGAGGACAAAAGGCATCTGGCCACCACACAGCTCTGGACACTAATCTTATTCATTTTGTACAACAATGAATTCTTTATTATCTAACTTTCTAATGACAGTCCTCCTTTTATTCTTTCCTTGTAAATTTTAAAATCCTCTTTAATAATTAAGAAATTTATTCAGCTTCCTGCTTCTAGTTGTCAATTTTCCATATCATCTACTTTTAATTTAACCTAGTATTCTCCCTTATTGAAAATTTATTTCTTAAAAGTCAAAAGTCTGATAATTAGATTGCGAAATACCCACAGTATGTACTTGTAAAGGATGGTATATAGGGATGATTATAGGAATAAGAGGAGGCTGAGTCTTTTCCTCTATCTCCTCTATCAGTCATTTTCAGAATTCCCTGATAGTCCTCCAACATTACCCAAATGCAGGCTGGCCCCAGATTTTCCCGTGATGATTTTAAGACTTTCAAGTTGAAAATATGATCAAGAATAAAAATAAATCTCTCCATGCAAATGGCATATATGAACATCTGGAACAAAAATAGACTCTTGACATCAGACTCATTCTAAGGCAGTGGAGTTTAAAACGCATACTGTGACATCTACAGCTACTCAATTCTGTCATGTCAAAACTGCCTTATAACAGGCAGTGAGAAGTTAATTCCCAGGAAAGGACTCTACTCTCTTAATCAGGTGATGTTCATTCAACTTTCTGGTATAAATAGGAAAAGGCACTGTACAGGTTTCTATGACTAGATTCCTGACAGAGCTCACTACACTTTCATTCATTTACTCAAAAATATTTATTATAGGCTGGGCGCGGTGGCTCACGCCTGTAATCCTAGCTCTCTGGGAGGCCGAGGCGGGCAGATTGTTTGAGCTCAGGAGTTCGAAACCAGCCTGAGCAAGAGCGAGACCCCGTCTCTACTAAAAATAGAAAGAAATTAATTGGACAACTAAAAATATATAGAAAAAATTAGCCGGGCATGGTGGCGCATGCCTGTAGTCCCAGCTACTCGGGAGGCTGAGGCAGGGGGATCGCTTGAGCCCAGGAGTTTGAGGCTGCTGTGAGCGAGGATGACGCCACGGCACTCTAGCCTGGGCAACACAGTGAGACTCTGTCTCAAAAAAAAAAAAAAAAAAAATTTATTATAAATCTTTTATTGCCATGTTCTGTGCTAGAATCTAAGGATGTGACAGTCTTCACCTAATGCAGCCTATACTGGGGAGGTTTGACTTTAAATTCTCACCTAGTATGGCATTTTCCTCATCCATATCATGTAAATTTAAAGAATACAAAGCTTGGTAGGGGAATTCAGAAATACTGCTCAAGTCTCATGTTATATCATCTGTAACATAAAGATAATAGTATCTATCATATAGGATTGTTCGAAGGATTAAATAATTGTGAAATGATAAGCATAAATCTGACAATCACGTATTAGCTATTAATAGTAAAAATTTGCTTTTTCTTTGGGTAAAGATTGAGCTTGTCCATTTAATAGTTTAATAAGAATTGGTCAGAAATATAGATTCATAGAAGCTTATTTAAAAGAAAGAAAAAGAAATATTACAAGCAGATTACAGATTATACACAAAAAGGAATTCAGAAGAGGCCACTTCCTAACACAGTCGTTAATTATCAAGGGGAAAGAAAACCCCAGAGGAACAGAAGAGGCTACTTGGGATCAAGGCTGCAGCACTTTACAATGTCAGGAGGAACTGTTCATATTAGTCTTTGTAAACAATGCCCCCTAGAGTTTGGAATTTTAATTCTACCCATACTTAAAGCTGTGATGAATAGAACTATCTTTTAAAAAATTCCACACGTTAAAGGAGTTTAAGACAGCCTGGGCAACATAATAAGACCCTGTCTCCAAAAAAATTAGCCAGGTGTTGTGGTGTTCACCTGTAGTTCCTGCTACTCAGGACAACGAGGGAGGAGGACCACTTGAGCCCATGAGTTTGAGGCTGCAGTGAGCTATGATCACGTCACTGTACCTCAGCCTGGGCAACACAGTGAGACCCTATCTCTTTAAAAAGACAAAAAACCAAACAAAAAAAACCACTCCAGGTTAACATTACTATAGCTGTGTTTTATGGTTGTATAAGGCTCCAATTACTGCTGGGTTAGTGAAGCTGCCCCAGAACCATTATTTATTTAAAAAATGAACAGGACAGGTGCAGTGGCTCACACCTATAATCCTAGCACTCTGGGAGGCTGAGGTGGGAGGATTGCTTGAGCTCAGGAGTTCAAGACCAGCCTGGGCAAGTGCAAGACCCTGATTCTCTATTAAAGAAACAGAAAATTAGCCGGGTGTGGTGGTGCATGCCTGGTAGTCCCAGCTACGCAGGAGGATTGCTTGAGC